AACGCGGACAGGTATCCGGTAAGCCCTAGGGTCGGTACAGCCAACCACACGAAAGAGCTTTCAGGGGGAGACTGCTTGTATCTTCATAAAAATGCCGGGGGGGGCCGACTCAGGACTTAAGCCGCCAGGGGAGGGGTCATGAGAAATTGGCCAGTCATCCCCCCACAACATCGGTGTTGGGGGGGGGGGGGGCGACTGGGAGGCAGATCTGGCTGGGGAGAGGGGCCGCAGGTGGTTGGCCAGCTGGCCCTGCCCCTCATCGGGGTAGGGGGACCGATCTGGGGTGGGGCCAGGTTGGGGGAGGGGCTGTAGGAGGTTGGCAGCCGGCCCCACCCTCTATTGGGGTAGGAGGGGTGATCACAGGTTGAGCCGGCTGAGGGTAAGGGGCCGAGGGAGGTTGGCCAGCCAGACCCACTCCCCCAATCAGGCCGGTTCACTGGCCGCAGTGGGCGTCGTAGCGACTGGTGGTTCTAACTGTTATGGCATTCCAGTCACTGGCTTTTAATATATATATAGATAGGTAATCAATAAATATTTGTTAAATGAAGAAACAGAATACTTTTACCAAAAACCTAGTGTGGATGAGATAAGACCATTTATCTTCTCTACTCAAAAAAAAAAAACCAAAAACAAAAAAAAAACTGATCACCAAGCATTAGGTTAAGAAAATTTACTATTGCCTAAAGAATTAAAACAGATATCATTTTAATAAAATCTTACATTTTAAGTTCCAGATTGATATTACTTTCTAAAACTTACTTAAACTTTAAGTCTTTCACATTTATGATTATGGCAGGCTGGGAAGATATATGCATAATTAAGCTTCCATTTTATGATTTGTCCCCAAATAAAGATCTCAGTTCTTCACCATTATATTTAATATTAATAAAAGTCTAGATGGGGGGTAGGGGAGGCCAGGGGATTGTCAAGGGCGGGGGGGAAAAAAAGGACACATATGTAATACCCTTTGTAATACTTTAAGCAATAAAAAAAAATAATAATAATAAATAAATAAATAAATAAATAAGCATATAAAAAAAAGTCTAGAAATTACTTAGCTTGTTCTTCTACCGCTGAGAACTGATCACTTACTGGTTTGGTCATGTTAATATTATAAATGCCTGATGGAGTCTGTTGGTTCGGTTTAACAAATGGAATACAATACTTCTTGGTCTTCTCATCCACTCTGTACCAACAAGGACAAAAAAATTAAGTTAGAACCAACAGTAATTATTTTTCAAGCACAAAACCAAATTACATAGCACCAAGTGACATGCAGTTTAATCAGCATTTAATGCCTATTCTTAAAAACACTATGTGCACAGATCCAGTAAAACATTCTGTCCTACACTTATGACTCCTACCCAGTCCCCAACTCCAACCAAATTACCTTCCTTTAAGCAAAATTCCCAAAAGGAGCTTCTTTGTATCACTAAAATGCCTGTAGCCATACAATGCAGAAACAGACCTTGAAAATCAATTGTCTCTTTTGTTATGACAACCTCCTTTCATGTTATTAGAATAAATAGCTGTAGAGTCTCTTCACCTTAAACAGTACAACCCTACTTTCTTAGGACTCAGGTTAATTTTTTGACCAAATGCTAATAATCTTCATTATATAGACCAAAAAGTCTTTTGAAACAGCAACCTGACCAGAATGAACAGTATCCAAAAGCCTGAGAGTACCACAATGGGGCTGAATTGACAATCACTTACAAATTTGCAAATATATCCTTACACGACCTTTTGTTCTTATTTTCTTAATTCATACCTGTAACTCTGAACTCCTGGGATAGTCCCCATTCCAGAATTAATACCAGGAGCTACTGCAGAAAGATTGTGTGTAAGTGGAGGAATAGCCATGCCTGGATTCCGTGTGTGGTCCACACTGCCATTGCTGCAATCTCTGAGGCTTGTTGAAGGCACTGTTTTGATGTGGCTAGTCCCGTTGTCATGGAGACAGCTGACATTTGAAGCTCGACTGGTTTTTTCAACTTTTTCTCCATCAATTTTTGACCCTTTTATCTTTAATACTCTAGAATCCTTAATTTTGGGATCAGCATTGGAATCCTGAGGAATAATAAAAATGTTAATAACATTAATGATCTGAGGATAATGAAAAATCACCTCTACCTATAAAGTACTTGCCAACTAAACCAGAATTCCACAGACAGCACCTTTTTGTGCCCCTGTATTTTTTATCTACCTATGGAATTAAAATTAAACCCAAGATTCTCGGTCAGACATTTATTTTGAATAGAAATGCAATTTACACTAGCTCTGATGTATACAGGGTGGGGCAAAAGTAGGTTTACAGTTGTTCATATGGAAAATAATACAGTAATTAATAAATAATAATACAAGAATAAATTCTGTTTCGCATACTCACACCTGTAAACCTATGTTTGCCATGCCCTGTACACCTCAGATTTACATGTGGATATTCACCTGTGTCTATATGTTCTTGAATGAGTATGATTTCCTGCACAGTCTGGTACACAGTAGGCACTCACTACATGATATGTTAAGATTTTTTTAAAACAGGTAATGTCTTAGAAAAGATACATTTTTATAAAGAAGCTAAAAGTTAACTTATTCCCCATCAGAAAATATTTTAATCTCCATTTTTTTCACCCTCCAACATAATAAATTTAATATACATTAATTTTTAAATTTATTATACATTAAATTTAATAGACATCAAAACATGGACACTTACCTGTACCACAAGTGTGTTTCTCTCCTCACCTAAAACGTCATCTTTTTCCTTCTCCTTCTTTCTGTTTTGGGATTTTTTAGATAAAGAAATATTTCTGGCATCTTTCTGTATTTTTAACTGTAGTTCCTGAGAGAACCTACATAAAAATACATTTGTCAACAAAATAAAATTGTGTGAGACAGATAAATCAAGGGGAAAAAATGGTTTTCAAGATATCTATTTTTAAAAATTGAGTATTAAACTAGATTGTGTTATTGAAAATGAGAAAAATTATGGCCTACATTAGCAGTTCTCAAAAGGTAGTTTGTATACCCCTGGGAATCACTAAGAACCTTTCAGGAGGTTCAAAAGGCCAAAGCTATTCTTAAGATGAAGATGACTTCCTTTTCATCCTGTTAACATTTGCGCTGATGAAAGCAACAGTGGCGTCGAACTGCACTGTCACTGTATTCTTCATAGCTACACATTCTCAGTTAAACGAGAGAGAGAGAGAGAGAGAGAGAGAGAGAGAGAGAGAGAGAGAGTTGTATTTAAGGGTGTCCCTGATAAAGCAGTAAAAAAAGTATTAATTTTATTAAATCTAAATCCTTGAACATATGCCTTTTTCATATTCTGTGTGACAATATGGGAATATGCAAAAAGCACTTCTGCTGCAAACTGAAGCACAGTGGTTATCTTAAGGAAAGGATGAGTGATTGTTTGGGATACAAACTAAATTAGCCACCTGTTTCTTTTTTTTTTTTTTTTAAATCTTTATTGTTCAGATTATTACATTTGTTCCTCTTTTTTCCCCCCATAACTCCCCTCCTTCCAGCTCCCAACCCACCCTCCACCCTCACTCCCCACCCACTGTGTTCATCCATAGGTGCATGATTTTTGTCCAGTCACTTCCCGCATCTCCCACACCCCTTTTCCCCCCAAGAATAGTCAGAATGAACTGGTGATTATAATAGCCACCTGTTTCTTGGAACAGTTTTACTTGAAAGACTGACAGAAGAGCTATTGTTATTCAGAGGGGTATTTAGCATACATTCTCTTTTAAAAAGCGAACGAAGGAGCTTGTCACTTCAAGGAAAACAACTGGTATTTGTGTCAATAAAATTCAAAATTTTATGCAAAATTAGAATTTCGTTAAATTTATATCCACTACTGTGAGCTGAGCAAATTCCCAATATTTAAAGACTTTTCTGATGAGATAGAATGTGGCTTTTTGAATGTGGCATAATGAAATAGGTCAACATTTTAAAGACCTGTATAACAGCAAAACAATATTTTCCAAATGACTAATGTATGTTATTACAAAAGTATACATGGGTAAAGGACCTATTCAACGTGTGAAATTTTAATGTAACTGGGTAAAAAAAAAGCTCATTGATGTGGTTTCAGATTCCACAACCAACATTTAAGAACTACCACTGTCAGTGTTAGTATAGCATCAAAGTTTTTGGTATGGGATCAAAAAAGAATGTGCACAATTATTTTAAAAAGCTAGTAATATATTCTTCCATTTCCCAACTACATATTTGTATGAGGTCAGGGTTTCTTCATATATTTCAAACAACAAAACATATCACACCTACTGAAATTAGAAGCAAATATGAGAACCCAGGTATCTTTTAGTAAGCTAGATATTAACTAGACTTGTAAAAATATAAAGCAATGTCATTGCCACTCATCTCACTATATTTTTGCTTTCTCAGCTATACTAATGCCAGTAGCTCAAACAGCACAAGAGAACATGCCAACAGCTCTGGCACCCACGCGTTTGGCACACCAAAGTCTCCAGCACATCAGCAGTGTCAGCAGGGTCACAGGACTGGGTGTGGTATGAGTTTGGCAACAACAGGAAATGGCACCTTTGCAAATGCATCAGCACCCAAGACGATGGCATCATACAACTGGTAGCAACATAGAAATCAGTGACCTGAGCGGAGCATGTTACCACAGGAAGACAGGAATAAAAGCAGGAAGTGACTGCTTTGTGAAAACCAAGAGCCCTCAGTTAGTGAATACAGGGGACCACTCCTACAAATTCCTTGGCTGCTAAGGATGAAGGGAGGTAGGGCGGTAAATATATGAGATCTTATCAAAGTAGCTGGCTAGAGAAATACTGTCTGTTACTATTATGAAGACCTTATTTCAACTCTAGGCTGGGGTGACCGGGAAAACATGAGCCAGTACCATACCGTTCAGCAAATCCATCCATACAAAAGAAATTGTGGTGCAGGAGCTCAGCACAGAAGGGCCTTTTGTCTGGATCAATATGTAAGCATTTCTGGAAAATAAAAATAAAAAACCCATGTAGCTCATATTTTTTTTAAAAATCTAACCACATTTAAATGTCTAAACTTAGAAAACACATCTTTAAAGTCATGAATTTAAATATCTATGATAAATGACAAAGAATAAATCACAAATCTAGACAATGACCAAAGGTTGCTAATATCACAAAAAGAAAGACCACCAGACATTCTGATCAAGCTCTAGCTCTATAAATTTATAAGAAATACAGAACACAGAGGAACATATTAAACTATACTATATGGGAAATCCTAAGGGACAAACAATCTAGTTTCTTCAACAAATAATTAGCAAGGTTTAAGCAGACAAAACAAAAAGAGATGAAGATGAGTTTGTAAATTAAGAATCTTAAAAAAAAAAAAAGATAACTAGCCCAGTTATGTGGCTCAGTGGTTGAGCATTGAACCAGGAGGTCACGGTTCCTTTCCCGGTCACAGCACATGCCCATGTTTCGAGCTCAATACCCAGTAGAGGGCATGCAGGAGGCAGTCAATTGATGATTCTCTCTCATTACTGAGGTTTCTATCTCTCTCTCCATCTCCCTTCCTCTCTGAAATCCATAAAACATTTTTTTTAAAAAAGATGTAACCTCCTTCAAAAAAAAAGTTAACTGATTGATATGTAGACTCTATGTGAATCCTAATTTAAACTATAAAAAGAAATTATGAGAAAGTCAATGAAAGTTTGAGCATTGATTCGATGTTTTATGATATTAAGGAATTATGGTGAAATTTTAAAAGTTAAAGCCCTTGCAGAATAGGAGGGAAAGGACCTGCTCTGTGCTTATTATTGTGCTAGATACTATACACAGAAGATTCTATTGTACTGCAGGGCTTGTTCTGATTAATTGAAACCATTCAATGTTAGTAAAAATACAAGGGACTCAATAAGTAGCTTTAAATGAACAAGAAAAGTTCTACATATAATTAAAGTATTTTAAGTGAAAAAATATAATATCTTCAGTTTGTTTCAAAATGCTCAAAAAAAGGTGCTGAGAGTGTAGATAGATGATAAAGATTGTCTAGAGGTTGTTAATTGTTGAAGCTAGATGACAAGTATGTGAGGTTACATTCTATTGCTATTCTTTCTTTTCTGTTGAAAATTTCTGTAATAAAATGTTTTAAAAGTTATATGATTCTACTATAAGGGCCATAAGTTAGACAATAATTTTATTTTTATTCCCTTTAACTCTCTTTATAGATTGATCATAAAGCAGGTTTCAATGAAAAATATTTGCATGTGTTAGAAGATTATATAGAAAACTAGAGGCCCAGTCCACGAAACTCATGCATTGGGGGGGTGGGGGGGAGCGGGTCCTTTAGCCCAGCCTGCACCCTCTCACAGTCCGGTAGACCTTGGGGGATGTCCGCCTGCCAGCTTAGGCCCGCTCTCGCCACCGCTGCTGCACTAGCCAGCCATGAGCCCAGCTTCTGGCTGAGCGGCACTCCTTCTGTGGGAGTGCACTGATCACCAGGGGGCAGCTCCTGCGTTGAGTGTCTGCCCCCTGGTGGTCAGTGTGCATCATAGCAACTGGTCGTTCCGCTGTTTGGTCGATTTGCATATTAGTCTTTTATTACATAGGATTAGAAGTGTGTTATTCTAAGAATTTATTATAATTAGTTATAAGCTCACTAAACTTTTTTAAAAAATATATTTTTATTGATTTCAGAGAGGAAAGGAGAGGGAGAGATAGAAACATCAATGATGAGAGAGAATCATTGATCGGCTGCCTCCTGCACACTCCCTACTGGGAATCGAGCCCACAATCTGGGCATGTGCCCTTGACCAGAATGGAACCTGGGACCCTTCAGTCTGCAGGCCGACACTCCATCCACTGAGCCAAACTGGCCAGGGCTCACTAAACATTTTTAATGAGTTATATAGAAACCTAAAAAAAAATAATAATAAAAATAAATAACTTAGATAAATGTTATGTGATCCTGATGTTTTAGAGATACTTATTTAATCAATACTTTAGGACAACCCTAACTAAAAAGAATTGGTTTGAGCTAATAATTCCAAACTGTCCGTGTTTAAAGACAATTTGATACATTGAGACTCTCCCTAATATCTACCTCAATCAAACACAAGGCAAAGGTGATGATGATTTGCAAATTAGCTTCAGCAAATCCAGTGGCTAAGCAAAAGCCCCTTTAACAATACACAACAAATCACCTCTCGGCCTTTTGGCTCAGATCAAGTGCAGTATCTATTCTTATTGGTTTAACAATACACTGCAAGTCATGATCCTAAGCCCTGTAATTTAATTAATTTTCCTGCTACTCTGCCCTTCTTTTTATTTTCTTATCCTATTTTCCTTTTCCACTTAAACAGGTTTACACTTTAAATGTTAAACATTAAAAACATCTCTATGAAGATGTTTTCACACTTAAAACATGCCAGATAACACTAAATGATTTCTTAGGTGAAATTTTCAGGTCTTTATCTCTGAAGTCTTCCCCCCAAAACCCACACACACACTCATACACACGAAATTGTTGACCTAAATGATCAACTAAACAAGAAAAAAAAAATAAGAGAAAGCCAAGTCTCCGAAATATAAATTCCCTGTCAGGAAGTGAAAGAAAAAGTATGGTTACCTTTGCTAAATCGATCACAACTTCAGGGAGCTTGGGATAGCGTCTTTCAAGAGGTTCCATTTCCTTGATTTCAGGCAACCTTACTCCCGCAAACGCAGGGTTTTTATAAAACAGCTCCTGGTGCCTTGGAATGAGGTTACCTGGAGGTGAGGGCAGCACACATCTCTGTCATTATACATCATGAGAGCAATAGCAGAGACAGGTGATGTGGAGTAGAGAAAAGAGTGGGACATGCTTATGGAGTTGGGGGTTTCTTGCAAAATGAACCGAAGACAGTGCTCTTAATGAAAGTTCATATGCCAGAAACACAGAACTGAAGACATGAAGGAGCATAGGAAAAGGAGAGGCAAAGCATTTTATAATTTTTTAAAATATATTTGTATTGATTTCAGAGAGTAAGGGAGAGGGAGAGAGAGACTGAAATATCAAATATGAGAATCACTGATCTGCGGCCTCCTGCACGCTCCACATTGGGGATGGAGCCCACAACCTGGGCATGTGCCCTGACCAGGAATTGAACCATGACCTCCTGGTTCATAGGTTGATGTTCAACCACTGAATCACTCCGGCTGGGCTATAATTTTTAAATATAATTACCAGCACTTCATTTGTAACACCATAAAGCATAAAAGTGCTGACTAAAATAATGAAAATATGGTCAGAATCTAATCTAGATAAACCAGTCTTACCATTTAAGAATTTAATTTTTGGTCAACTGATTTTATAATTATGTTCAGGTCTGATTTTAACACTTTTATCTTTTTATCAACTTCAGTACTTATCTGAGCATAAAATATATATGAAACCATTATATTGTTTGTTGAATTTCTAACCTGGAAACTTAAAATCCAATAATTAAGTAGCCCCCAAATATTTTACCATTTTTTCGGTTTTCCAAGCTCTAGCTCCCAACAATGAAGCTGATATTTCAACAAAAGTAGGAATACTGTGATGATCTAGCTTTGACATTCCATCCAAAGCACTAACAACAAAAGTCACATCTGCAACAAGATTAAACTACCTTGGATAGTCTCTGTATCTCTCAATTTGAAGGTGGGGATGAGGGAAGAGTCATATTACACCAAATGCTTGTTGATCCATAGGTAATAAGTAATCATTTGCATCCTTTCTATGTGTGTCTGAATGCAAAAGTGCAGAGAAATATATATATAACCTTTGCTCTTTAGGGGGAAGTGGGGCGGTAGGTGGAGTGAAAGCACGATTAAGACCATATGTCACACAGACCAAGGCCAGGCTGAGAATGAATGAATGAATATATATACACACACATTTATATATGAACATTTCCTATTTGCTTCCTACCTTGTACAATCAATGCAAACAAACAAACAAGCACAGGAGGAAGCCTCTAGAATTGAAAATGCAGATGTGTAATCTTACCTAAACACGTCATAATATGATATAGCTGATCAATATCAGAATCTCCAGGAAAGAGGGGCTCCCCCATGAGCATTTCGGTTACCAGACAACCAATGGCCCATATGTCAACAGCTCTGAAAGAAAAGCAGTGTGGTGTAAAATTTGGCCTCCTTACATGTTTACTGTGACTGAATCTGCTCTGCATATTACTACTAAATAGTCTAGGCATTGAGAATAGTAGTAGCAAGCTTTAAATCACCTATAAACTTAAAGTACTAATTCCCAATTTTATGTAAGTCAGATTTCCAGAAACTTTGATCATGTGACATAGAGGGAAAGGGCTTCTAAAAAATCGTAATAGTTATGTGTCCTTTATTCTGAAGATAAGTCTTCTGGGTTTTCATTTAGAACCTATTCATTCTTTGTTTGCACATAATTCTAGCAAGTTAATCAGTCTATCCCACCATACACTGAAAACTACCTGCAGGAGGTGGTTGTTAGGGACACATACAGTAACAGGAAGGAGAACTGAAAGGTAATAGAGGGGAAAAAATAGAAAAACTGTCTTTAAAATCAGTTGTAAGAACTTAAAGAATATTCTGGCATTATTAGCATAGGACAACTACCTTGAAATTTCTCAAGGTCATAGCTATATTATAAAATGATATAAAGGTGACAGTATGACAGTAAAAGGAGAACTTAACATAATCAAGAAAATATTAAATGATGTATACTCTGAAAACAGAAATTGTAGAAAATATTTTTTAAAGATTTCTATAAAAGCAGTAAAAGTTACAATCCCATCTTCTTTGAAGAATTCATTTATGGAAATAATTATATTTTAAAACATTTCACCAAATTATTTCTACTCTGAGCCTTGTCCATTCACCTCATTCCAATAGTTTCAGACTTATCCAATCCATGTTCTCTCTCTTTACAAGTGAAATATAGTATACCTATTTCTGAACCACTATAAGAAAACAGACTACTTGCTCACCTTGATTTCCCTACCTTTAAAATATTAGTATACTCACCCCCAATTGTTTCACAAGAATACTTAAAGGGGAAGCACCAAAAATTACAAATCACTGGGTATAGTCCCCTAAATTCAAAACTTCCTTCCAGTGTTAGAGGAATCTTTTTTATATTAGAAACACCACCACCACCATGATGTCTTACTTGCCATACTTCACATCACCAACCAATAGTTCTGGAGCTCTGTACCATCGGGTTGCCACATAATCAGTGTAAACCTCCCCAGGAGCTGCCAATGTCCGCGCAAATCCAAAATCACATAACTTGACAACTCCAGACTGGGAGACTAATATATTCTCTGGCTTGATATCTCTGTGTATGATCTAAGACAAAAAACAGAGAATGACATATATTGGCACATCAAGGTAAAAAATTAATTTGTTTTTAGTGCCTGCCATGTCCAGGGCACTGTTTTTGTCCCTATAATGAATAGAAATAAAAAAGCATATGAAATTCTTCCTGGCTTTAAAGAATCTGAAATCTAGTTGGGAAAGAAATAACATTTATGCTTAAAATTTTATATAAATAATCAAAGATACTAGATTATATATATATATATACCAAATGAATTGTTCTGTTACTCACTGCTCTTAAGATTAAGAGATTAAAGCTGTAATTGAAGATTGGGTAATCAAGGAAAAATGTTATGAAAGGGGTGGGCTCACCCGGACGGGTTTGGCTCAGCGGATAGAGCATCAGCCTGCGGACTCAAAGGTCCCGGGTTTGATTCCCGTCAGGGGCATGTACCTTGGTTGTAGGCACATCCCCAGTGGGGAGTGTGCAGGAGGCAGCTGATTGATGTTTCTCTTTCATCGATGTTTCTAACTCTCTATCCCTCTCCCTTCCTCTCTGTAAAAATCAATAAAATATATTAAAAAAAAAAAGAACGGGGTGGGCTCTAAGGTAGGTCTTTAATCTAAGTATGACCTGGATAAATGTAGAAATGAAAAGGCAATCCAAGTGAAGGTAACGAAGAGAACAAAAGAATGAAGAGAAATCGATCAGGAGACTAGAGAAATGATACTTCCACAGTACAGGTTATATACTAGGGAGGAAGGATGTCTCAACTGCCAGCCTGAGGTCTGAGCTTCTGTCAAGGCCATGGAACCCATGGAAGTGGTATGACCAATATGATGTTTAAAGATGTTGGCCATAAATAAGCTAAATCAAAGAGGGACTAGAGGCAGGGAAAAGAGCAGTGGGACAACTATGAGGCAATAAGGGCCTAAACTAGACTGGTGCTTGGAGGAATGGAAAGGAGGAGACATAGTTTATAAATATTTTAAATCAAGCAACAATAGAGCTTAGGAAGTAGTCTCGGATATTTTATTTAAACCTGGGAATCTAAAAGAATTAAAAAGCTGCCCTGATTGGTTTGGCTCAGTAATAATTAGTAGTTTACTTTTAGCCATAGGGGCCTTTATGAGGATTGCTGAGCACCCAAGTGGAGGCATTCTTCAGGCAATTAGAAATGTAAAGAGGGTCGCCAGGACAGTGTGGCTCAGTAGCTGAGCATCAACTCATGAACCAGGAGGTTAGGTCTCGGATATTTTATTTAAACCTTGGAATCTAAAAGAATTAAAAGGCTTAGAAAAAGTTAGTTTTGATGGAATAATTAGTAGTTTACTTTTAGCCATAGGGGCCTTTATGAGGATTGCTGAGCACCCAAGTGGAGGCATTCTTCAGGCAATTAGAAATGTAAAGAGGGTCGCCAGGACAGTGTGGCTCAGTAGCTGAGCATCAACTCATGAACCAGGAGGTTAGGGTTCAATTCCTAGTCAGGGCACATGCCCAGGTTGTGGGCTTGATCCCCAATAGGGAGCATGCAGAAGGCAGCTGATCAATGATTCTCTCTCATCATTGATGTTTCTCTCTCTCCCTCTCCCTTCCTCTCTCTGAAATAAAAATATGTTTTCAAAAAAGAAATATAAAGAGGGTCAACAAGGTCAGTGGTTAAGATTTGTAAAGGAGAAAATATGAACACTGGGAGACAATACTAAAAATTCTACAGCTAGGCAAAACAAAATATTAGACCTAATTCTCTAATACAAGTAAACTGTATTTGGAAAAAATTTTATATATATATTTTAAACTCTTTCAGGGGACCAGCATCTTAAATGGCAATATGCCATTACTGAGCATTTTGCAGAGGCTACCAACTGCTATTACATCCATGCAAGCTCACAGGGCCAACCCCACATCTACCGTTAGCATCTATTACTTTTATAATCACACAAAAAAATGTCATTTAAAATATTTTGTAGCCAAAACCGGTTTGGCTCAGTGGATAGAGCGTCGGCCTGCGGACTGAAAGGTCCCAGGTTCGATTCCGGTCAAGGGCATGTACCTTGGTCGCGGGCACATCCCCAGTAGGGAGGGGGTGTGTGTGCAGGAGGCAGCTGATCGATGTTTCTCTCTCATCGATGTTTCTCTCTATCCCTCTCCCTTCCTCTCTGTAAAAAATCAATAAAATATATTTTAAAAAAATATTTTGTAAAACTGGAAGAATAATGTGTTGAGCTATTCATTTGGTACTTTGTGCCATTTTACCTAGAGGTGCTCTTATTGACACTCAAAGGATATACAATTATTGCGATAGACTACAGGCTAAGAGCAGGGATCTTTTTTTAAAAAAATCTTTATTGTTGAAAATGTTACATATGTCCCCTTTTTTCCCCGTTGACATCTTCTAGCCCACCCTTACCCCTTGCCCCAGGCCTTCACCACACTAATATGTGTTTCCATGGGTTATGCATATATGCATACAAGTTCTTTGGTTGATCTCTTCCCACCCACCCACCCAACCCGCCTTCTCTCTGAGATTCGACAATCTGTTCCATGAAGAGCAGGGATTTTTTTACTTCACAACTCAGCAACAGAATCTGAACTAACATATACATGGATCCTTGGGTGAATGCATTTGTCAAAACTCATCAGTTAGAATTTGTGCATTTCACTTAGTAAGTGTCACCTCAAACAAAAGCAAAAAAATATTAGACTCTAGTTAATATACATAGCCAAAGTATTTAGAGTTGAGGTGTACTGATATCTGTAATTTACTTACAAATACATAAATAAAACATTAATAGATAAGTATATTAATAGATAAATAAATACATCATAAAGAAAATATAGAAAAATATTAACAAGTCTAGAATCTAGGTGGTAGATTATATGGTATTCATGGCACACTCTTTTTATTTTTCAGTATGGTATGGCCTAAACTTTTCATAATAAGATGGTGGGGAAAAGAATACGTATTGTGACACATGAAAATTGGCAATATCAAAGTAACAGTTCATTTCTATGATTTTACTGGTCTAAACTTTAAACAAGTATCTCATTAAATTACGGTAAATGACTTGTGCCTGGAGAGTCAATAATTGGCAAAATAATTATTTAAACTAAATACTTACATTGTGACTATGACAAAATCCAATTCCATTAATAATCTGAAACAAATACTTTTGAACCAGCTGGTAGTCTAGTCCATTTGGAAAGAGTTCCAAGTCATCAAGAATGGTATGGTCAACAAACTCAAAGACTAGGTACCATCGTTTTTTTTTCTTACACACCTCCAACAGATTCACCAGATTTTCATGCCTCAGTTGCTGTTATAAAAAAATTCAAAATAGTTTTTACATCAAATGATTAGCAATGAGTGACCATTCAAAACAGATCTTAGCATAAGAAAGACATATAAATAAAATGCATGAACAGTATAAATTGTAAATGTATATTTTGGTTTTTAAATTCTAGTTAAAAGACCACATTGCTCTGTTGTCCTCTCAAAGAACACAATAAAACCAATAAGGAAAAGAAATGTAGCTTTATCTCTGATGGAACTAAGTAGGATCTATGACCCCTTCCCACAACAAATGAGGTGAAACTGCCAAATGTAATCAAGGTCAAACAGGAGTGCAGGAAGATACCAAGAGATTATCTGTGGCCACAAAGCTGGCAGAGCAGATTTCTCCAAAGTTGGTGATATACCCTGAAAAGGAAAAACAACAACTACAACAACAACAACAACAACAACAAAAACCAACCCAAAACCTTCTTAGATATAATGGGAACAAGGTTGCAGAAAACAAAACTAACTTATGCTGATTGTAATCAAGATAGTTGTGACCTGAGTGGAAAAGGAAGACAGTAGTGACGAGAAGGTATAAGGGGCTGGGGGAGGGGGGGTAATGCGGGAAAGGACCTTCTGGGGTTATTTTCGTGTTCTCTTACTTGATTTAGATGGTGGTTACATGGGTTGTTCAGTTATTTAAATCCATAGAGATATATTTTTATGATATGTATACTTTTCTGTATGTGTATGTCAATAAAAAGTTGAAAGAAAAAAAAAAGATCCAGACATAAAAGAACAAACTTAAAAAAAGAGCAGCGATTGGATTGACAGCTGACTTCTCAAGAGCCATAATTGAAGCAAGAGGACAAAACAATGTTATTTTCATTTTGTTGAAAGAAAATAATTGCCAACCTAAAATTCTATACATAGCAAAAATATCCTTCATGAAAAATAACAAAATACAGACATTTTCATGCAAACTAAAATTGAAATGTTTTATCTACAGTATTTCCTCACAAAAGGAAATCCTAACAAGAAGAAGGGAAGAGATCACAGATAAATAATAAATGCAGAAAGGAAGGAAGAACAAAGAAAGTGGTAAAAATAAATCTAAATATTTAAAAATAATTACATCTTATGTTTAAATAGCATAAAAGATAAAAGGGAATAACTAGAGATGATTATTGCAAGGTTTGGAAGAAGGATAAAATTACTGGATACTGTTAGACTTTAACAAATGTCTAGGATAACCACAAAATGAAACAATATATAATTTTCTAATTATTTGAAGAAAATAAAGGAATGATAAATGTAATCCATTCAAAGACAGAAAGAAAAAAGGAATACAGAACCAGTGAGACAAATAGCATATATTAAGATGGTAGATTTATATCTAAATATATCAGAAACTATATTACATGTAGATGGACTAACTGTTCCAATTAAAATACAAAGATTGTCAAACAGGATGAAAGAAAAGTGTAACTATACGTTCACAAGAGACACATCTAAACAAGGACTGAGATGGGGAGCCAGGCAGAAGAGGGTAAAGGGGGGAGAAATGGGAGACATCTGTAATAACCTCAACAATAAAACAAAATGGAAAAAGATATACTATACAAACATTAACCTAAATTAAACTAGTGTAGCCTTATTAGTTTCAGCCAAAACCGACTTTAAGAAAAAACATTACTATAATAAAAAGTTATTTCAGCCCTTGCCGGCGTGACTCAGTGATTAGAGTGTTGGCCTATGCACAGCCTGCACATGGGAAGGTCTTGGGTTCTATTCCCTGTCAAGGGCATGTGCCTGGGTTGCAGATTCTATCCCCATCAGGGCACATGTGGGAGACAATAAATCTATGTGTCTCTCTCACATCGATGTTTCTCTCTCACATTGATGTTTCTCTCCTTTCTCTCCCTCCCTTCCACTCTCTCTAAAAAAAAAAAAAATCAATGGAAAAAATATCCTCATTCCTTAGGTGAGGATTTTAAAAAAGTTATTTCATGATGATAAAAGATTTGATTCAGCCGAAACCGGTTTGGCTCAGTGGATAGAGCGGCGGCCTGCGGACTGAGGGGTCCCGGGTTCGATTCCGGTCAAGGGCTTGTACCTGGGTTGCGGGCACATCCCCAGTGGGGGATGTACAGGAGGCAGCTGATCGATGTTTCTCTCTCATCGATGTTTCTAACTCTCTATCTCTCTCCCTTCCTCTCTGTAAAAAATCAATAAAATATATTTTTTAAAAAAAAGATTTGATTCAGCATGCAGATATAATAATTCTAAATATAAAATATGAATAATGTGGCTTTTCTACTTGTAAAGTTAAACCTTAACTGAATTAAAATTAAAAAGGACAAATCAATAATCACAGATTTTAACATATTTCTTTTCAGTACTAGATAGAACAAGCACACACACAAACAGAATTACTGAGAATTTAGAAGATTTAATCAATGCAAGTAAGAAAAGCTAATTTAATGGAATACTTTTCAAGTACATGAGAAAAAATTTTTTGTTGTTTAGTATATTCTGAATCAAAAAGCATGTATCAAGAAATTTCAAAGGAATAACATCTTACATAGTATATACTCATATCACAGGGCAATTATATCAAAAGTAAAAAACCAGGAAAGGAAAATCTAGAAAATTTCCAAATATTTGGAAATCAAGGAAAATAAGAAAATAGTTTGAACTGCTAATCAAAATTTCTGCAATACATACCAAACTGTTCTGAGAGGGAAATTTATAGCTTTAAATGCGTAAAGGAGGCAGGGGGATAGGCTGGAAATAAAAGACATAAGTATGCATTCGACAGGTTAGAAAAAAGAACTACAAAATAAACCCTCCCAAAAGAAGTAGAAGGAATGAAATACTAAAAAACTAAAATGAAATAGAAGAGAAATAAATACTAGAGAAGATGAACAAAGCTAAAAGTTAATAAACTTCTTGTGAGAATGATTAAAGAAAGAGGGACATAACACAGCAGGCCCGAGAGTGCTATCCTTAGATAGGTATGCTGCACCTTGGCTGGTACCTGGAAATCCCTGGCTGGTACCTGGGAACTTGGATTTCAGGAGGGTTCCCTTCATTTCCAGAATTGATAAAAATGGCACACTGCGCAAACAATATTGTTCATGCTGGATACCTGCATTCCTTCTGGGAGTCTGAAATTTTGGTATGAGCCAGGCAGATATGCCTGACCAGTCACCAATAAAAACCTTGCACACTGAGAATCTAATGAATTTCCTTGGTAGACAATATTTCACATGTGTTATCACAACTAATTGTTGGAGGATATAAGAGTGTCCAGCTGAGTGACTCCACTAGAAGGGGTTTCTTAGAAGCCTGTAACAGGTTTCCCTTTGCTGATTTTGCTTCCTATCCTTTCAGTGTAATAAATCATGGCCATGAATACAATTGCAGAGTGCTGAGTCCTCTAGTGAATCACTGAACGTTGGGGTGGTCTTTGGGACCCTCAGTACAAATGATAGCTGGCTAGCTCTACCTAGCTAGGTAGGTAGACAGATAGGCAGATATATATATATATATATATACACACACACACAGACACACACACACACACACATATACACATATATATGTATATATATATGCAACAAGTACTTTTAAAATCATGTTTATGTTCATGATATAAATGAATATACATATGTAATCATTTTATTTGTTTATTGCCAAAAAATATATACTTTAAACCTTGTAATATATGAAACAAATATAAAAACAGTAAATTTCCCCCAAAATGTAATCTTGATCAAGAAATAACTTATTTTTTTAACAAAATACATATATTTACTCACCTTCAGCAACTTGATTTCTCGCATAGCAATTTTTTTAACCATTTTGTCATCATCACTTTCTAAGAACTTCTTAATGGCTACAATTCTTCCAGTATCTTTATTCCTACACTTCATCACCATTCCATAGCTCCCTTCTCCAACCAATCCTAGGTTCTCATATTTTTCCATTTTAATTCAAAACCAGAAGGATTTTTTCTTGCTGTAAAAACCAAAATATAGTTAATAATGTTGAGTATATTAATTTTCTCCACCCTCCCAGCAAAGTAATTCTTCCCAACATGTTTTCCATATTAGAGCAGTCACTGTGTTGATGGTTCTCCCTTGCTGACTCACAATTTCTTATTGTTTCCAATTTTGTTATGTTTTCAAAATATTCATATACATTTCATAATAGACAACACAAATATAACTGAAGCCATTAACTTTAAATTTAAATTACTAAATGTTATGTTGATGAAATTCAACATATTTTTAATTCAGATAAAGTAACACTAGAACCACCATACAAAACAATTACAGCTCACTTTAGAAAAACATGATTCCTTTTCACACAGAGGTGAAAAAGTCGCAAGTAAGTTTGGTTTTAGTGAAGATCATGTTTATTTTTTACAACACGATTAAAAGATCAAAGATGAAAATTTTTATATACTCTACTCATTGAGGAAGAATATTTGGTCACAAAATGGTCACTTACCAAATGAATACTAAGAACCTTTGTTAAACTATTTTTCTTACTATAGTAATTAAATTACTATATTGAACTTACAAAATAACAGCAATAACATCACAGTATATAGGCAGATTTTAGAAATTAAATATTAGTAGCACCAAATAGAGTATTTCAAAAATCCTTTTAATGATTACTCACTATGATAATAATCATTTGAATTTTGTGCTTATAATTCTTTTCTTTTTAAATATATTTTTATTGATTTTAGAGAGGATGAGGGAGAGAGAGAGAGAAACATCAATGATGAGAGAGAATCACTGATTGGCTGGATGGAGCCTGCAACCCAGGCATTCGTCCTGACCGGGAATCAAACTGTGACCTCCTAGTTCATTGGTTGATGCTCAATCACTGAGCCACACCAGCCAGGCTGTGTTTATAATTCTTTTCTACTCCCAATTACATGTCATTTTCTGGATAAAGGCAACCCTAATAAAATCTTTCTTACTTTACTAATGATTAATGAATGTCCAGCAATCAGTCCACTACATATTTTGGTACAGAAAAAAAAAAACTTTTCAGTCCAAATACAGATAGATTTTAATTCATAAGTTTTACTGCAAATTTCAAACTTTATTTTTAAATCTGGTGTTGAAATTAAATTCTAGAACCAAAAAATAAAAAAATATTCATCTTAATCCCATTATGTTTCTAAAAGTTTAAGGAGGGAAAAATACCTTTAAGGAAGTTTATATTCAAATGTTAACTCGTGGTTAAATTTTTTAACCTGACAATATAAAAATACTCATTAATAAAAGTTGGGGGGGGGGAATATTATCACCTATTACATTGTGTATTTATGGCAATCTAAAGCTAATTTCCCCGATTGTAAGTTGTGATGCTTTTCCTTGCTTCCTTATTCGTACACTGATGATAAAGACAATACAAATATCCTCTGTTCTAACTAACTATGATAATCCAATGAATACATTTTTAGCATTTTACATATGGTAATTTATATAGGTTCTATTATATAGATATACATGGAACACCAGAAGATTGCCCTGGGGGTGAAGGGTGGATGAAAATAAATCCAAGTCAACTGCAACTCAAATTATTTCATTATTTTACGACCAGCTTTGATAATACTATAAACTGTTTACACAGCAGTGTCCCAACACGAACTTTCCATACATTTGACATTTTTAGCTTCCATTTAATGTCTATCAACTACTTTCAAATAAAAAAGTCTGTGTTTGAAAAAAAAATCTCAACGTTATTTTCTCTCTCCTTTTTAAATAATTTTTCCTTCCACTAAGACAGCGTGTTTTTATCAAGGACTAGACTGTAGGTTTATCATGTCAAGGGCAAAAATAGATGGAATCTATAACTTGCATCACTTAAAAATATGTCATCTAGTAAGCTAACATTGTGAAAGTTGACTACTCCAAATTCATTCTTGCAGCCAACTGCACATTTGGTCACAGCACATAGAACACACCCATTTTTCAAGTGGCACTGCCTGCAAATACCTTAAAGGTAACACAGCTTATAAAGCCTCTTGTTTCCTGAAACAGTTACTCATAAACGATAACTTTTCATGCCTTCTACCCCCGAATGTAAGGGTAATACAAACGAAGCCCGACTGGCAATGTGGTATTTCTGGACATGTGCCATGTGAGAGTATCGTTCTAATACGAACCAGTTAGATAAAAATAATGCTAATTTATCTTCTTAAAGAGATTGAAATCTATTGTACATAAAGAGTGAGATCACAGAAGCCTTCAAAAGTATTATACTTACTGCTTCTTTAATATCCTTTCACGTGTCAAGACCCAAAGGTTTTCAACTCGGAAACAAATTTGAGGTGAAATTCATCTCTCCCGCGGGTCTAAAAAATGCGGACTAGCCAACTAGCAGTTTCAGTGCGGTTACGATTCCTTGTGAGGACACAGTCACCGGCGCCAGGTGAAGCAGAGAGAGGCAGATCGGCCTCGGCCCGCCCCAAGCTCTCGCTCAGGAGGACCACTGCCGGCATGCTGCCGTCGTCAAGGCAACGACCTCACTCTGTCCCCAACCATAGGCACAAAGTCTCCAGGGAGAGAGACGGCTCAGGTCAGAATGCGTCCGCGGCAGGACCCACACCTGCTACGGCCGAGGCCGGCAGAGAAATCCGCTGGGGTGGGAGGGCGCGGTCTCCCGGCTCGGAAGGTGCCCGGTCCCTGGACTCGGAACCCGCTCAGCTCCAGCCAGCCCTGGCGAAGGCGTTGGCCACCCAGCTGCAAGGGGGCGGGTCCTTAGCCTGCGCCAAGCACCCCGTGTTCTGATTGGCTGATCCCTGTTGTCATGAGCCGTGATTGGCTTAGCGCCAACCACCCTTCCCCTTCACCTGGGGCTCCGCCCGGGTTCCGCTCCCTGACGGCGGGTGCCAGCATCTGGACACACCTACGTTAAGTAAGGAGACACCTTTCTGCCTTCGCCGGAGACCTCTCCCCGCAGACGCGGGCAGGAGACGATCCGGTGTTCATGGGGAGGGTAAATGTGGCGGTGGTTTGTAGGACGGAGAAAATGGGAGAGGGAGGTCATGCAAAGAGCTCGAGAAAGTGTTACCCCGCAGCTTCCCCGCTGGCCGGGGAGCGGGCCCACGGCGCCCTCACCCGGGAAGGTTCGGTGTGAGAGGTGGGGCCGGTCTGGGCCAGATGCGGGATGAGGGTGTCGGTCGGAGGTGATGATTAATAGGTGAGGCAAGGTAAAGTAGGTAGGTGACGACAGAACTTCTATTAGGAGGGACCTTGAGGGTAGCCTGGGCACTGAAAGTGAGGGGAATGGAGATACACGAATGAAATAAAAGGACAAAAGTGAGGACGGTTGGGGAACGCAGTACTGGCCTATGGCAGCCAAATTGGGTGCAGTCTGGGGGTGGGATCTTTAAGGCACAGACCAACTCAATTCATACATAACCAGGCAACACTGGTAGATCAGAATCATGCACACGCTTAAGTCACACAAGAAACAGGGTTTAGGGTGTAGGCCATACCTCTGCAGTAAGGACGCCTTCAGCACTCAGTTATTTTCACGTTAAGTCATGAAAACTAAACGTTTTATAATCATATTTGATCTCTATCTTGATTCAGTTAAGTGTGTTCTGGATAGCAGATATTTATACCCAGTTAATATTACAGTATTAATTCCTTTTTATATGCTAAGAAATAAACATTCTGGTTTATAAATAATCCTTTGAGAGTTTGGTTAGCATGAATTAATTTTTCAGTGCTTGATCACCTTGGTCAAAAGGCTTAAAAACTAGTTCCTGAACCTGTAATATTAAGGACAAGACCTGGGACCTAGGGATGAAAATAATATAAGTATTTGGTCAATCCAGGATATAAATCTTAATATAGCAATTAGTTCCTTCCTTTGCTGTGACCAAGTTGAAGGGAGCCGTGCCCAATGTTGTTACCTCAGGCTCTAACAGAATCTGATGAACTTTTATATGAGGGGCAGATCACCTTTTATAAAATGGCAAATCCAGGTTTGGGGGGCCTGAAGCTTGACAAGAAGGCAAAAATATTTTGCTTTTGCAACTTTAGAAAAATATTCAACAACAAACATTTTAAAGGCTCCTCTAAGCAAGAGGCCCTGAAGCTTAAATCCCACAGGCAATCAATAGGGTAAACTAAAAATATTGGATTTGGCCCTAACTGGTTTGGCTCACTGGATAGAGCGTTGGCCTGCGGACTTAAGGGTCCCAGGTTCGATTCCAGTTGGGGGCATGTAACTTGGTTGTCAGCACATCCCCAGTAGGGGGTGTGCAGGAGGCAGCTGATTGATATTTCTCTCTCGTCGATGTTTCTCTCTATCCCTCTCCCTTCCTCTCTGTAAAAAATCAATAAAATATATATTTTTAAAAATATTGGATTTGGTGAATAGGTAACACTTGAGAAAACAATTTAAAAAAGAATTGAGTTTAAAGCCAACTGTAAAGGAGACAGGGCATTCAAGAATTACACATCCTAGGTAAAGTCATTTACATGTTTGCGAAAGAGGGGATAGCATTATATAGATGCAAGATTAATTTAAAAAACACAGGGAAATCTTTGTAGTGAAGATGAATGGAGAGAGAGGCGTTAGAGTGAAGAAAAGGAATAATTGATTAAAAATAAAAAACTAAGGACAGGTAGTGAAGAGAAAGTAAGTATGAAAAGGGCTTAGCCTTGAAGAGGTTTAGAAAAAAAGGAGTTTAAAGAAAAACTGAGAAAAGTGTTGGACGGACACATTAGCTGGCCTAAATCTTCTCAGGTAAAGAACTTCAAGTTTGGAAAACAGATAATGGTGAGATTAATATGTAATTCTGTGGTTAAGACTTGAGAGCAGAAATTCCTTGAAATAGGTAGTTATGAGAAAACTCATTTTGATATGAAAGGAATTCAAAATAGTAATATGTGCCCACTTGAAACCTACTGATTCTGTTTCAAGGGACTTGGCATTCCCAAGGACAAGAACGGAGAAAGTAGATGGTAAGTTTCCTCTTAGAGAATTTGCAGCACAGATTAAACAAAGAAGAAATCGAGGATGATGAAGAAAAGCACCACTAAAATGGCTTGCCTTAGGTTCCAGCTAGATAGGAAATTGGTTAATAAACTGAAAATATAGAGGCTTTGAGGAAGTGGAAGTCAGTCATCATAGGCATGAAGAATAAATTTAATAGGAGAGAAAGCTACTGTCAAAGAAATCAACTTGTCCATTTGAGATCTTAGAAATGGCACTATCTTCATCATCTGGGATTCAGTGCTGTATCTCTGAGGATTACTCAATAAAAGTTGCAACTAACATCAGGAGCAAAATTAACCTCCCTTTTGGATTTTGAAAAACAGTAGAAATGTAAAAATATGTAATTCTGTGGTTAAGACATATAATCTCTATGAAGCTGCTGGTCAAGTTTTCTTACCAGGTTTTTAAAGTATAAGAAACTCCTACCTTAGATGGCAGCAGAGTTCTCAGTAATTGAGGTTATTTTAACCTTGCCCACCAAAAGCTGTGTCAAATCTTCCTGGTGGGTGGCTGCCAGGGTTTGGCATGAAAGCTCTAAATGACTAAACAAGCAAATAACAACATGATTCTCTCCCACTCCCACCCTGCTGTAGTTTCCCAATTAACATTTTTGTGTGTTTGCTTGATAAAGTTGTAGCTGGGGGGGGGGGGGGGGAAGAGGGGAGAAATCTTAGAAAAGTGAAAATGTTATAAAAATCTAAAGAAAACAGTATGGGAGTGCACGAGGTTAGCAACTAGAGAGGAGAGATGTGTTAAAGAATTAAAGGTTAGAAGAGACTAAGGATCATATGGCCCAGTAATTCCACTCCTAGATATATACTGAAGAAAAATGAAAACTTGTTCATATAAAAACTTGTACATGAATGTTCATAGCAGCATTAATATTCATAATAGACAAAAAAAGTGAAACTCAAATGTCCATCAACTGATGAATGGATAAATTGCTATATCCATACAATGGAATACTATTTAGCCATAAAAAGGAATGAAGTACTGATACATGCTACATGGATGAATCTTAAACATTAAGCTAAGTGAAAGAAGGCAGACATAGAAAGCCACATATTATACCATTACATTTATATGGAATGTGTGCAGCACAGGCAAATCCTGTGCTGCACACATTCCATATAAAGAAACAGAGACTGAGAGGGAGATGGGAATGAGGAGTGACTACTAATGGGTAAGGAGTTTCATTTTAGGGCGATGAAAATGTTCTGGAATTAGTGTTCCACAACTTTTTAAAGTAAATATACTGAAAGTCACTGAATTTTACACTTTAAGAGGGTGAATTTTATGTATGTGAACTATATCTCAATTAAAAAAATAGACTACAGGAGGATAAGAAATTTTCAGCCTTCCCAGAAATCTGCCTTTTAAAATAAATGTATGTATTTTGGCTTAGTCCAATTCTCTTACATTAGCAATCATCTCTGTTAAGTGACTTTTGGCAGCAGTCATTTTCTACATATTTTGACATCCCCAATAACGTGCTTAGGTGTTTTGTGCAAAAACAAACTAAGAAAAAACCACCTCTCACTTAGGTCCCATGAGATACTGATTAGTCATGGGTTTTTGGCATCACTTCGAGTCACCAAGTGAATGGAAAGGACATAAAATCTTCAGACTACAAAAAGTAAGATTGTTTTCAGTATAGTATATGAAGCATGCAGCTATGAATACATTTTACCATTCTATTAAGAAAATGGACTGATTCACTTTAAAGTTCTGGTTCTTTGATGGAAGGACACTTGCCATAGAAAATAGAATTCTGTTCTCAACCTAGTAGTTGATTCAATGACATCATTACTACATTTAAAAGTAATTAAGACAATTGGAATTTGGAAACCTAAAATACAATATACCACTTATTTTGCCAAATTCAACATACACCAACACATCTATAGCAGCGGTTGCCAACCTTTCGGACCTCACGGACCACCAGTGGTCCACGGACCACTGGTTGGCGATGGCTGATTTATACTATAAGTGTAAACCTTGGAATTCATTTCTTAAATGTTAACAATAGTATACGTTCTGTTTGCACTAGTAACATGCCTCTTTTGAAAAATCTTAACATTCCATCTCTTTCTAGCCTCTATCAGATTCCTCTGTTCATCTTCATAGCAAAACTGCAGGGAAAAAAAGGTCTGTTCATTTCTTACCTCCAATTCTCTTGGGCTTTCATTCTTATCACTTCACTGAAATAGTTTTTCCCAAGTCATTATGACCTACATCCTGCCAAAGCCATCTGTAGCAGAGATTGCTAGTTACAATAAGCTAGTTCCTTTTTCCTGTGTGGCTTGTTTCTTTTGTTGGATCTCCATTGCAGTTAGGAGTGGCCATGTGACTGAATTCAAGCCACATGGGCACCATTTCC